CACTCGTCAGGCCACGTTGAGGCGGCATCCCACATCCCACAGCTAGAAGGACCTGCAACTAAGATATACAACTGTGTACCGGGGGGATTTGGGGAGATAAAGCAGAAAAGAAAAAAAAAGCTTGGCAACAGTTGTTAGCCCTGGTGCCAATCTTTAAAAAAAAAAAAAAGAAAGAAAGAAACAAGAATGATCTGGGGCTGGCCCCATGGCCAAATGGTTGAGTTTGTGTGCTCCACTTCAGCAGCCTGAGGTTCACTGGTTCAGATCCTGGGTGCGGACCTACATACCGCTTGTCAAGCCATGCTGTGGCGGCATCCCACATAGAAGAATGAGAATGACACAACTATGTACTGGGGCTTCAGGGAGAAAAAAAAAGAAGAGGAAGATGGCAACAGATGTTAGCTCAGGGCCAATCTTCCTCACCAAAAAGCATACCTAAAAAAGAATAAAAATAAAATTAAAAAAACAAGAATGATCTCACATCAAAAACCTAACTTTACAACTTAAGGAACTAGAAAAAGAAAAACAAACTAAACCCAGAGCTAGCAGAAGGAAGGAAATTATGAAGATTAGAGCAGAGAGATAAATGAAATAGAGAGTATAAAAATAGAGAAAATCAATGAAACCAAAAGTTGGTTCTTTGAAAAGATCAACAAAATTGACAAACCTTTAAACTAGATGGACTAAAACAAGAGAGAGAAAAATCATATCACTAAAATCAGAAATGAAAGTGGGGACCTTACTAACAAATCTACAGAAATAAAAAGGATTATAAGCGGGGCTGGCCCAGTGGCATAGTGGTTAAGTTTGTGCTTTCCACTTCAGCAGCTTGGGGTACACAGGTTCAGATCCCAACCATGGACACACCACTCATTAAGCCATGCTGTGGTGGCATCCCACATACAAAATAGAGGACGACTAGCACAGACGTTAGCACCGCAACAATCTTCCTCAAGCAAAAAGAGGAAAAATCCCCAACAAAATACTAGCAGACCAAATTCAGCAGCATAGTAACAGGATTACAGACAAATCAACAAGTGGGATCTATTCCTGGAATTCAAGAATGGCTCAACATACAAAAATTGATCAATGTAATACACCACATCAACAGAATGAAGGGGGGAAAAACACACAATTATCTCAATTGATGCAGAAAAAGCACTTGACAAAACTCAACACCCTTTCATGATAAAGACACACAACAAACTACAAATAGAAGGAAACTACCTCATTGTAATAAAAGTCATATATGAAAAATCCATAACTAACATCATACTCAATGGTGAAAGAGTGAAAACTTTTCCTCTAAAATCAGGAACAAGGCAATGACGTCTGCTTTCACCACATCTATTCAACAAAGTGCTGGAAGTTCTAGCCAGAGCAATTAGGCAAGGAAGACAAATAAAAGACATCCAAATTGGAAGGGAAGAAGTAAAATTACCTCTGTTTGCAGATGATATGAACTTATAAGTAGAAAACCCTGAAGATAACACATACACACACACACACACAAAGAGAAAACCACTGCTAGAACTAATAGATGATTTCAGCAAAGTAGCAGGATACAAAATCAACACACAAAAATCAGTTGCTTTTCTATACATTAACAATAAACAATCCAAAAAAGAAATTAAGAAAACAATTCCATTTACAAAAGCATCAAAAAATAAATAAAATTCTTGGAATAAACTGAGCCAAGGAGGCAAAGGACTTGTACACCAAATTTTATGAAAACTACAAAACATTGCTGAAAGAAGCTAAATAGGCACAAATGGAAAGACACCCCATGTTCATGAATTGGAAGATTATTATTAAGATGTCCATACTATCCAAAGTGATCTACAGATTTAATGCATTTCCTATCAAAATCCCAGTGACAGTTCTTGCAGAAACAGAAAAATCTATCCTAAAATTCATATGGAATCTCAAGGAACCCTGAATAACCAAAAAAATCTTGAAAAAGAGGAACAAAGCTGGAAGACTTACATTTCCTTATTTCAAAACTTACTACAAAGCTACAGTAATCAAAACAGTGCAGTACTGGCATAAATACAGACAAACAGACCAATGGGATAGACTACAGAGCCCAGGAAGAAACCCTTGCATATATGGTCAAATGATCTTTGACAAGGATGCCAAGAACATTCAATGGGGGAAACGACAGTCTTTTCAATGGTGCTTGGAAAATTGGATATCCACATGCAAAGAAAAGAAGTTGGACCCTTATCTAAACCATATACAAAAATTAAGTCAATTGATCAAAGATCAATGTAAGATCAAAGATAAATGTAAGACCTAAAACTATAAAACTCTTAAAATATAGGGCAAAAGCTTCACAACATTGGGTTTGGCAATGATTTCTTAGATATGACACCAAAGGCATAGGCAATAAAAGAGAAACTAGACAAAGTGGACTTCATAAATATTCTTAAATTTTGTTCATTAAACGACACTATCAATTGAGTAAAAAGTCAACCCATGAGATGGGAGAAAACATTTGCAAATCATATATCTGAAAAGGGATTAATATCCAGAATATACAGAGAACTCCGAGAACTCAACAACAAAAAAAGAAACAACCCAATGAAACAATGGACAAAAGACTTGAATAGACATTTCTTCAAAGAAGATATACAAATGGCCAATAAGCACATGAGAAGAAGTTCATTATCACTAATCATTAGGGAAATGCCAATCAAAACCACAAGATACCACCTCACATCCATTAGGATGGCTACTACCAAAAAACAAAAAATAAACGTTGGTGAGGATGTGGAGAAACTGGAACCCTTGCACACCAGAGGTGGAATGTAAAATGGTATAGCTACCGTGGAAAACAGTGTGGCGATTCCCCAAAAAGTTAAAAATAGAATTACCACATGATCCAGCAATTCTACTTTTGGGTATATACCCCAAAGAACTGAAAGCAGAATCTTGAAGAGATAGTTTATGCTCATGTTCACAGCAGCATCATTCGCAACAGTTAAAATGTGGAAGCAACCCAAGTGTCCATCGAGGCATGACTGGATAAGAAAAATGTGGTATATACACACAATAGAATATTATTCAATGTGAAAAAAGGAAGGAAATTCTGACACATGCTACAGTTTGATGAACCTTGAGGACATTATGCAAAGAGAAATAAGCCTGTCACAAAAAAGACAAACGCTGTATGATTTCACTTGTATGAGGTACTTAGTCAAAATCATAGTGACAGAAAGTAGAATGGTGGTTGCCAGGGGCTGAGGGCTTGTGAATCTAAGTGTGTGTTCCTAAAGATATCCTGACTAACTCACTGGGATTATAGTGCAAACACTGTTGGGAATGTACTGTGCATCAGGCAATGTACTAGGCACTTGCCTTGCATGATCAAGTTGTCTCATTTCATCTTTATGACAACTTTCGCATCGAGTACTGTTAATCCCATCATTCTATTTGAGAAAACTGAAACCCAGAGAGTTTCAGGATCTTGTCCCGGTCAGACAGCTCACAAGACAGAGCTGAAAGTGACTCTAAAGCCTGTGTTTTCCCTGCTACCCGCTACTGCCCGTGGTGTCTGGGCACGGGGAGAACCTTGAGGCTTGGATTGGGATGGCTGTGGGGACTCAGAAGAGAGGATGTGAGCTGCATCTCCTGCTTTGTGGGGCCACCTGGAGCAGCCTGAGGCTCAGCACCACTCCCACCAGGAGGCGAGAGCTTGCTGGGCACAGAGCACCTAGCCTGCCCAGATGTATTCAGTCTCTCACTGGGGACAGAGCTGAAGGTCTAAAGGGAGCCGCCAGAATTCAGCAATGGTGACAGAGCTGGGAGGACAGTTACCAGCCAGAGGCCCTGGTCCCTCACACCCTTCAGCCCCAGTCTCCTGCAGATCCTGACTCCAGCATCTCTGCACCCTCCAACCCCTAGCCTGGGCCTGAGCTGAGTCTGGGTGCTGCCTTACAGAATTTAAATAATTCAGGTCCCAGTGGCCTGAGGTGTCAGTTTCAGTTGCACTGTTCCCTTGGGCATAGGTGTCCCAACTTTGTAATTAGGCTAATGAGAAGGGCAAAGGGGAGGGACCTGCTGTCCTGTGCCTCAGAGGGCTCAGGGCTGATGCAGTCCCTGCCCCTGTCCTGCCGAGAACGCACCAGGCTCATCCAGAGCCCGGGTATGGGGAACGGAGGGAGGAAGCCAGGGGGCTAAAATAGAAGAGGAGAAAGAAAGAGAGAGCGGGAAGAGGAAGATCAGGGTCAGGGAAGCAAGGAGAAACCAAAAAGAGTTCAGAGGAAGAGACAGAAGGACCAGAGATGGAGAGGCTGAGTGAGAGGTGAAGGGAGGTGGGGGGCAGAGAAAAGGGCAGAGGCAGAGGCCGGAAGAGGCAAGGACCAGCAGAGACGGGGCAACAGCAGATGCCAAGGACCAAATCCTAAATTCCATGGGCAAGTACCAATAGGAGGTCAGAAAACTGGAAGAGTCACAAGAGCTCCCCAGAGGGTAGTTGGATCCAGCAGAATTCTTAGCCTTACTTCTGACTTTCAGGTATTGTCCACACCATCCTTGCGAGCAGGGCTTGATGTTGCCCTCAGTCGGGCCAGGAGGTTCACACCCAGAGACTTGCCTCACCTCTTATTGTGGCAGGGCCATGGGGCCCCAGAGCCCGCGCCTCAGCCTCAGCTTCTCAGTCTCCAGGCTGGGACTTCTGCTTCTGCTTCCATTCCTTCCAGGTAGGAAGCTCAGTAAACCAGGCCTGGCCTCGCAGGCTTTGGGCCTGTTCCTGGCGGGGGGTGGAGGGTTCCCCGCAACCCCCTCTCCACATGCTCTCTCTTCATTTCTCTCTTCACATCTGTGCTGGAAACAAGCTCTCTATCTGAGGGGTGTTGAAGAGGGTGATAGGAGACTTGCCCAGCTGAGGTGGAAGCAGTGAGGGGGGAGCTCCCAGAGATAGGGCTGGAAGAGCCAGGAGGGTCCGATCATGAAGGGCCTTGAATGCCAAACTGAGTTTGGGCTTTATCCAGCAGGCAATGGGGAGCCATCGAGTGATTTTAAGCAGCTACTGGCCTGGTCAGATTTGTGTGTTTAAAAGCCTGATCTCTCAGAAGGGTGGAGGATGGTGAGAAGCTGAGCCTGAGGCAGGGATGAGCAGAGAGGAGGCTGCTGCTGTTGTGGTCCACGTCAGGGAGGACGAGGCCTGAGCTGGAGGGGTGATTGAACATTAAGAGATGGGCAGGGTTTGGGCACTGGTTGGATCGCAGGGGCGGGGGCAGGAGAAGCCAGATTTCTGGCTGAGGTCCCTGGGGGGTGCCGTTTGCAGAGGTGGGGAACAGAACAAGGAGCGGGTTTCAGAGCATGGTGGGAGGATATTAGTTCATATTTTGGATTTACAGAGTTTCGGGCGTCTATGGACATTGAGGAGTGGATTATATATATGGCTCTGGAGCTCAGGAGAAAAATCTAGGCTGAAGAAAAAGAAGGGGGCCAAGGACAAGATTCTGGGGAGCACCAATTAAGTGACAATGTGGTGTGTCACAAAAGCCTAGGGAAGAGAGTGTTTTCAGAAGAAAGGAATGGCCCATACTGTCAGAAGCTTTGAAGAAATCAAAGCTGCTCCACCTTGGTGAAGTGGAGACAGGTTTGAGAGACTGGAGGGGGCAGAGCAATGGGTTCAGAATGCCTGGGTGAGAGGCGGGCTCTTGTGGCCTACCTGGGCCGCTCTGGCATTTGTGGCGAGACAGGTAGCATCCAGGTCCTTGGGAAGAGAAAGGTGGGAAGGAAACCTGTCAGCCTTGCTCCAGAAAATGGTACCAATTCACTCCACACCCTTCACCTCCATCTCTGGAGGCAGGCCAGGGAGGAACCAGAGCTGCAGCTAGAGGGACAGAGGGCAGCTATCAGGAGGACCGGTCAGACAGCTCTGAGAGAGTGAAGCCCCAGTCCTGTGCAGGTGTGGGCAGAAGCCCCTGAATTAGGGTCACAGGAGGACAACCCTTCCTACTGTCCCCCAGAGTGCTCGGGAGCTGAGGGCAGGCTAGCTCACAAGCTGTTCCGCGACCTCTTCGCCAACTACACAAGTGCCCTGAGACCTGTGGCAGACACAGACCAGGCTCTGAACGTGACCCTGGAGGTGACGCTGTCCCAGATCATCGACATGGTGCGTTGTGGTGGTTGCACAACTTTGGAGTGTGCCCTTAACAGTGACCAGGAATGGGGTGGGGGCCGCGGGGGTGAGAGGCTGGGATTATTCTCCAAACAACTCTTTTTTGTAAATGTTAGTATTAACGACAATAATAACAGCTACTAGCTGTTGGACCCTAACTGCTGGGTGCCCACAGTGTGCCTGACACTTTGCACACTTGAATCCCTGCCTAGCAGGGATGATCACCCATGTAACTGCAGAGGAAACTGAGGCCCAGAGAGGAGAAGAACCTGCCAAGGTCACACAGCAAGGTCAAGCCTGTGAGAACTGAACTCTGTGAACAAGTTGGGTTTCAGTACTGACCAGAGCTCTGTAGGTGAGCGTGCACAGATGCGGGAGGGTGTGCATATACATGTGTCCACATCTGTGCCCACTCCTGCCCCCCACCAGGACGAGCGGAACCAGGTGCTGACCCTGTACCTGTGGATCCGACAGGAGTGGACAGATGCCTACCTACGATGGGACCCGGATGCCTATGGTGGCCTGGATGCCATCCGCATCCCCAGCAGTCTCGTGTGGAGACCAGACATCGTACTCTATAACAAGTACTGCCTGCCTGGGCCCCTCCCCTCCCCTCCCCTCCCGGCCAGTCCTGTCTCTAGAGTTCCCTTGGCTCTAGATATGCACTGATCCCCCATCCCCGCATCTAACCTGGTTGCTGTGCTGCCCTGGAAGCTTTCCCCCAGGGCGGTCTAAGCTGCCAGAGGCTCACATCCCCTCCCTGGTACCCCTACTTTAGGCTGTCCCAAGCCAACCCAGGCTGAATGTCTGCTGGGAATCCACGGTGCGGTCAAGGGCCAGTTCTGTACCTCTCGCAGAAAGGGTTCTGGGACACAAGCGCCTCTTGATGGCACACGGTACCCTTCCTGGCCGGCTCTGAGTCTCTCAGGGCTTCCAAGGGCCTGCCTAGGGATCTCCTCCCGGGCCTAGCCCTCCGGAGCATTCCTTTATGCCGCCTAAGCCAGTTTCCCAGACAACATATGGCTCTCTATATTTTCCCCCGGGGCCCCTCTCTGAGCTTTGCAGAAGACACCCAATGCAAGTCAGTGGGCCAACTAGTGCCAACTTTTGCAGAGGACTTTTTACGCTGCCCTGGGCGAGATCTGTGTCCTTTCTGGGCCTTTCAGGTGCCGCCCCCTCTAGGCCTCCAAAAGCACAGAGGGCCCTCTCTGTGCTCACTCTTGCCTCTGTGCCCCGGACCCCCTGAAGTCGCAGAACCCCTCCGGGGGACCTGCCGTGGCCCCCGTGGCCACAGGGCTGCTGCTAGGCCCGCCTCCTCAAGGAGACCCCTCTACCCCGTCTGCCCGCAGGGCGGACGCGCAGCCGCCGGCCTCCGCCAGCACCAACGTGGTCCTGAGGCACGACGGCGCCGTGCGCTGGGACGCGCCGGCCATCACGCGCAGCTCGTGCCGCGTGGACGTGTCGGCCTTCCCGTTCGACGCGCAGCGCTGCGGCCTGACGTTCGGTTCGTGGACGCACGGCGGCCACCAGCTGGACGTGCGCCCGCGCGGCGCCGGCGCCAGCCTGGCCGACTTCGTGGAGAACGTGGAGTGGCGCGTGCTGGGCATGCCGGCGCGGCGGCGCGTGCTCACCTACGGCTGCTGCTCAGAGCCCTACCCCGACGTGACCTTCACGCTGCTGCTGCGCCGCCGCGCCGCCGCCTACGTGTGCAACCTGCTGCTGCCCTGCGTGCTCATCTCGCTGCTCGCGCCGCTCGCCTTCCACCTGCCCGCCGACTCGGGCGAGAAGGTGTCGCTCGGCGTCACCGTGCTGCTGGCGCTCACCGTCTTCCAGCTGCTCCTGGCCGAGAGCATGCCGCCGGCCGAGAGCGTGCCGCTCATCGGTGAGCCGCCGAGGGCGAGGCGCTCCCGGGACGCGCCGGCGGGGGGCTGGGGAGAGCCCGGCCCCTCCCCTCCCCGAGCCTGGCCCAGCCGGCCCCCGCCGGCCGGCAGATGGTTCCCGCCTGAGCGCGTGAGGGCGGCGCGTCTTGGGAGCGTTCCTCGCTCTGAGATTGAGGGGCAAGGAGTCGGTCCCTTCCAGGGAGCACACCCCTCCCCTGACCAGCAGGGGCGGAAGGAGTAGGGCTTTCCTGCAGGGCTTGAGGGAGGAAGGCCGCAGTCCCCGGTGTCTGCTATCAGGCAGGACGTATTGGGTCCTCTCTGTGTGCCAGGCACTCTCCTAAGCGCTTCATGTTTATTAACTCAGGGAGGCGTCACCGCAAACCTAGGAGGTAGGTTCCATTGTGATCCCACTTGGACAGAAGGGTCAGTAGCTTGCCCCAGGTCTTGCCCATCCTACTTGAGAGTGTGACTTTCCTGGCCTGTGGGTGAATGCAGTCTCCAGCAGCGAGTGGAGCCATTAGGGAGCAGGTAGCTTCTGAGAACCCACTTGTAGGAATTCGGGATGAGGAGACCTTGACCCCTACCTCCCTCCTGCTTCCATCTGTTGGGCTTGGAGGGTGCTGAGAGCTTCGTGGTGGGTGAGCTTGTTCCTGTGTGTGCCAAGGCCGCTGGGAAGCTCAGGCCCCCTAAGTTCTTGTTTGGGGCCCCAGCTCAGTCTCTCTCTTGCAGGGAAGTACTACATGGCCACTATGACCATGGTCACCTTCTCCACAGCACTCACCATCCTCATCATGAATCTGCATTACTGTGGTCCCAGTGCCCGCCCAGTGCCAGCCTGGGCTCGGGCCCTCCTGCTGGGACGCCTGGCACGGGGCCTGTGTGTGCGAGAACGAGGGGAGCCCTGCGGGCAGTCTAGGCCACCAGAGTCACCTCCCAGCCCCCAGCCTCCTGAGGGAGGGGCTGGCCTCCCAGCAAGCCCTTGCCGCGAGCCGCAGTGTCTGTGCCATCAGGAAGCCCTGCTGCACCATGTAGCCACCATTGCCAACACCTTCCGTAGCCACCGGGCTGCCCAGCGCCGCCATGAGGACTGGAAGCGCCTGGCCCGTGTGATGGACCGCTTCTTCCTGGGCATCTTCTTCTCCATGGCCCTGGTCATGAGCCTACTGGTGCTGGTGCAGGCCCTGTGAGTCTCAGGGGTCTGCTGCAGCCCCGGTACCTCCAGACAGGAACGGGAAGGCCAGGGGGTTATTGGCCCTCAGATGGGCCACCCAGTCTCTCCCCATGCACCTAAGAGTCTGGGACACTTCTGGGATCCTCTCTTCAGGATCAGTGCTGAGTTCACAAACCATGAGGGAGCACCTGTTGTCCACATACCCTAACCTCTGAGGGAAATTCAGAACTTGCTACTCCCCTAATTCCTAAAGAGGAGGAACTCGAAGAAGGGTCAAGATCCAAGCTCAGTCCTGGAGGCACAGAACTGTACTTGGATGCTGAGCGTTAGAGGTTTCAGTGGGAAAGTGCAGGTTATGTGAGAAACAGAACTGCCACATTTCCTGTCTGCTCTTCTTTCCTCTTTTGCTGCTGTTACAGGCACTTGGTGTTGCCTGTCCCTGCCTGGGGGCTCGGGGAGGGGACTGGGGATTCGGGACTCATGGTCTAGTTCCAGGGCAGGAGGCCACACAGGGATTTGGCCCCAGAACCCCAACTCATAATAAAGTAAGTGTGTGCCTATCACCTACTTGATGTCCTGACTTTCCCTTGGGGCCCGTGGTGGTGGAAGTTGGGGATCCAGGTTTGTCTCTTTAGAGACAGGAACCTTAGGACTCATGGATCAGAGCAGAAATTACATCTTTGCTGAAGAAAATGACTAGATTTGACTGAGACCTTGGCAGAGGACCTGAAGCACTCTGCTTTCTCTGCTGTTCTGTGTTCTGTGGGGTTAGATGCAGTCCCCACCCCCATTCCCACCCACTGACATTCGGAGAGCTCAAAAGTGTCCACAGTAGGGGAAATGCAGGGACAGCCATCCATGAAGTATTTGTTCCTTTTTTTTTTTTTTTTTTTTGGTCATTTTTTGTTGTTTTGTTTGTTTGGGTTTTTTTGGTTGAAGAAGATTTGCCCTGAGCTAACATCTGTTGCCAGTCTCCCTCTCTTTTTTTGTTTTTTGGCTTGAGGAAGATTAGCCCTAAGCTAACATCTGTGCCAGTCTTCCTCTATTTTGTATGTGGGTAACCACCACAGCATGGCTGATGAGTGGTGTAGGTCCATGCCCAGGATCTGAACCCACAAACCCAGGCCACTGAAGTGGAGTACACAGAACTTACCCATTACACCACCGGGCCAGCCCCTGTTCCTTTCTGACTTGTACATGTTTCCCAACACCACCTGTGTGCCTCAGGCCCAGTCCCTGCCCTCAGGAAGCTCGCAGTCTGACGTGGAGACAGACGCAGACACGTGGTATAGAGAAGCCCCTGGGACTGGTGGGAGCACAGAGGCAGGGCCCCAGCCCAGCAGGGCGGGAGAGATCAGAGAAGGCTTCCTGGAGGGGCGAATAGGAGCCTTCCAGGTGCACATGTGAGGCATTTGAGTAACACCAGCAAATACCACAGCCAAGTGCTTTCCTCCCCAATTACCCGCCCCCCCAAACTAGTTTAATCTTCTGTCTCCAAGTGAGTTGTTGCCTGTCCTGGAGTCCCCCCACCTCTATTCAGCATCTCACTCCTACAGCCCTGGGTAAGGCTCAGTCCCAAATTCTCCTCCTCCTCCACCAGCAGGCCTGGCAGCTGCCAGAGAAGGTCCCAGAGTCACCTGCAGATGGAGTTACCATGGATCTTGGCTACACTTAAAGCGCACACGTGGCCGACATCCTCACATCAGGCAGAGGCGGTGGCAGAGCTGTCCAGTGTCTGAGGGGTCAGAGGCCTGTGCTCTCTGGAAAGGCCCCCACCACAAGGAACCAGAGCAGCAGCAGAAGGGACCAGAATGCAGAAGGGGGGCCCTGACCCATGGCTGCAGGGAAAACAGAGGCAGAGAGGGAGATTTAGGGCCAACGTGCTGCACACAAAGAAACAAGATGAAGAGAAACGAGCAGCCTGAGCTGGAAAGACTGATGGACAAAATGTGACAGGAGACAGGGATGAAAAGCGAGACTTCCAAGGGGAAGGTCGACAGAGATGAAGAGACCGAGGAGAGCCCCAAGTCCCCTTCCCAGGTCATTAGGTCTATCCCCCGGCCTCCTCTTGACATGAATGAGGCACTGCAGGGTGGGATGAAGCGTGGGGCAGAGATCTGAGTGCGTCTAGTGATGCTGATCTTTGCTCCTCTGCCCAAAGCCTGGAAGGAGAGGTGCTGGTGGACCAGAGGGGGAATTCCCGGACTTTTCCAGTGCTTGATATGACATGATCAGAACTCAGAGACGCTGGGTTGGAGGCAGGAGACCTGGCTTCTGGCCCTGACTCTGCCACTAACTCACTCTGTCACCTTGGGCAAGTCACTTCTGTTTCTGGCCTCCATTTACTATATAGTGAGGGAATACTGCCTGTTCCGCCCCCTTCCAGTAGATAACTGTGCAGTCAGGATAAAATGAGGTGGTTTCTGGGGAGAGGTGGGGGCCAGCCTGGTGTGGTGGTTCAGAGTTTGGCTCTAGGGCCAGGCTGTCTGCTACACTGCCCACCCCTCCTCCCCCCACCACTAGCTGTGTGTGTAGGGCTGGTCACTTCACTTGTCTGTGCCTCAGTTCTGCCATCTGTAGAACAGGGGTGTTGCCGGTACATACACTGTTGGGTTGTGAGGATCCATGGCATTGTGTGCCTGGAACTCTGAGTTCTCTATGTCACAGAGAACCGTGGGAACAAAGTGGAGGCTGGGGCTGCTTCCTGCCCACTGTGCACAGAGCCCACGGGGGAGGGCTGGCTGCGGTTTCTTCCCTGGGAATGGCCTGTTCCAGTAGGTTCTCCTGGGAAAGCCTGTTCCCAGCTAGAGAAGTAGTGACCTAGGTGGGCCCTCGCACAGCAGGTGTTCAAGGGGAGAGAAGAGTCACAGCAGAAAGAGACCTGAGCTCATCTAGGCCAACAGGCTTATTATACAGTCAGGGAAACCGAGACTCAGAAAGGAAATGGTTTGCCACAGGGAGAATTAGGCAGAGCCTGGAGGAGAGCCCAGGTCTCCGGCATCCAAGCCCTGGCCTCGACCTTGGACGGGGGTCTGAAGGAGCCCTGAGGGCAGCAACAGAGACAGTGGGTCCTGCAGCTGCAGGAGGAGAAGGCCCCAGGGAGGACTCTGTGGAAACGGCCCTTCCCTTGTCACCTCAGTGCACCCCGGCTCTCTCTGGGGCCGGATCAGCCGCCTCCTGTGAGGGAGGGGCAGCCCAGACTGGGGGACAGGTGTGTCAGCTCACCCAACCACCACCCCCCATACTCAGATATACATCCTCTGGGAGAGGTTAGCAACCCCTACAGGTGTCTGCTTAAGAGGGTTTACTTTTTTTTGTTTTATTAAAAGGGGATTGTTTTCCTTATAAGAGGGACATCCAGGTGAGGGCCGCAACCCCAGGGCGGCCTGCTCATCCCCGAGCTGAGCCCCACGGATGCCCGCAGCCCTTACCTGAGTTATCCAGACGGCAGGGCCCAGACTTGCACTGTTTGTCTGTGGGGAAGAAATGGTAAAGAATCAAAGGCTCAATTTCTTTTGGGACAGGAAGGGACCCCAGAGCCCTGTGCTCCATCCCTGACTTGCTCTAGGAAAAGCTGGTGCATTTTCCCCTAACTCTGCTTCCTTATGGTGGGGCCTCCTGTGCCTGGGTTTGACTTGACCCGTGAGCAGTGGGGCCAGAAGGAAGCCCACCCTCAAAGCCAGGGCCCATTCTGGGTACCCCCCTGCTCCCGTGGCCTGTAGCTTCGCCTCCCTGCCTCACACACCTTCCCCTCTCCCTTGTCTATCCCAGCCAAGGACGGGCGAGTTGATGTTCCGTGCACGTCCTCCTCATCTTCTGTCAACTCATGTACGCTCGTGATGCTGTCCAAGGTGGGAACTGGAGCCACAATGGACCTTCTCCTATTTCAGACGTGGTCCACAGTTCCAGCCAACAGTCTCCCTCAAACTGTGAAAACCGGGCCTCACAAGCCCCTGGGCATCGCTCAGCCAGGACCAGCAGCCCACCGCCCCTCGGAGATTAAGAACCTGGGCCCATCTGCATGATTCCTCCTCTGGCCGGTCGTCGGGGGGATGGACCTGAAGAGTATCCGAGACCTGCCACAGCCTGGACTGGAACTTAGGGGCCCAGCACCCAACTGCTGTCTCACCGCCTCCACCCCCAGGCCCGCCTAGAGCACATGACAGCACAGGGTTTCTGTTCAGTGGAATAAACGTGCTCCTCTTGGAAGCTAAGGTTGAGGCTCGTACTTATTTCTGGCAACGGTGGTCCAGGTGTAGGTAATATGGCTAGCAATGCATTCCCTTCCAGCTCCCAGCTGAGAGAAAAGCCTGACCAGGTCTGTTTGGCCCTCAAATGGCCAAAGACTCCCCGCCTTGGTCAGGAAACCCTATTCAGCCTCCCAGCAGGCAGGTGGCCCGCTCTGGCAAAGATACCTCTGGGGATAAGAAGCGCACGACCTCAGAAGGTTATGTCTCCCCCTGGATGGAAGGGTGGAGGGGCTGGAGTGCAGGACTGGGTCCTCCTCACTGGTTGTTTTTAATATTTCTGTCTGTACCCCCTGAAAACAGGACGGGGAAGCCCACCTTCTGCATGGGGGCCAAGCCGCGTGTCCTGCTCACCTTTGATGTACTCACAGTTGTACGTGCTGCGCTTGCCCAGGGCCCGGAGGTAGATGCGGGCGGGGCCCTGGGCCGGTCTGCTGGCATTGATCACCTGGAAGGTCTCGAAGGGGGGGATCAGCACCTCCTCCTCCCCAGGGAAGAAGGAGTAGCCCTTGATGGGGGCCCCAAGGCAGGTCCAGATGCCAAAGAAGGTGTCCTCACCAAACTGCTGGGCTGCAACGTTCTGCAGGGATGCGGAGGCAAAGCCCCCCAGCCTGACGGTGGCCCCGGGCCCTGCTGGCTGGAAGCGCAGCCCATGTACCCCGCGGAACACCTGGTGGCACCGGGGCGAACGCTGGCGCCTGCTCAGCAGCTGCAGGGCCTCCGTCAGCAGGAAATGGAGCGTCTTGAAGGAGAAGTGGTGGAGGTAGTGGGCCCGGGTGCGGCCTGCCTCGCGCACGGCTGCGTTGAACTCCTTGTGCAAGGGGCTGTTGGCTGTGTAGGCCAGGAGGGCCACCCCGTGCTCATCGCGGAAGCCGGGGGGCGGCGGGGGCAGACGGGTAGGGCTGAGGCCCCACTCTGGCCCCCAGGCCTGGCGTTCCCGCCATTGGCTGCTTGCCAGCGCCCAGCCGTCAGCGTACACTTTGTTGGCCTGGAACTCCGTGTAGTTGAGATCCGGGAGGGCAGCCATCATGGCTGCCGCACAGCCAACGTACTGGTCGTCAAAGGAGGCTGGGGCCATGTCCAAGGGAGTTTCTTTAGAGAAGAGGTCTCGTCGTGTGATGCGGTGGCTCTGGGCCTGAGGGAGAGGGAGCAGCAAGGACCAAGAGAATGGGTCCCAGGAGAATGGGAGCCCTGTCATCCCACTTCCCCCTCCACTGAGCTGAGAAAGACACTAAGTGCCCCAAATGCACCTGGAGGGGAAGGAGATTGGAACCTACCACCTGTCAACTCCCGGAGACCAGGGTTTGGGGCTGTCCTCTCGGGCTGAGCGAGCCCCAAAGGAAGCATCCGGTAGAGTTCGGAAGAAGCCAGCACTGAGGCATGGGGACAGTGGAGGATGACCATACCTGGAGCGCCTCCATGAGGCCCATGGACACAAGCAGCAGAGACAGCATCACGGGAGTCTGCATGTTGGAGGTGACCCTGGGCAAGTTACTGTCTCTCTTTGGGTCTCAGTTTCCTCATCTGGAAAATGGGAATGTTAATCTGTGCAGCTTAATAAACATTAGTTGCCACCTAATCTATACCACTCCCAGTGCTTGGCACACAGTCACATAGAAATGAAGGCTCAGGAGAGAGAGAGAGAGGACCCTTCTTGCTGGAAGGAACATGGAAGACTTCCTGGAGGAGGTGACATATTAACAGGGTCTTGCAGGATGAACAGGAGAATAAGGCTTCAATCAGTGGAGACTGGGAGAGAAAGATCAGAGTTTGGGGTGGGAAAGGAGTTTGCAGCAGCCAGAATGAGAAGATCAAAGGAGGTAGGAACTCTTAGGGTGTAGAGTGGAAGACATTTTGTCTCTTGTGGTGGAGCTTGCAGTGTGGGCAGAGTGGAAAGATTGGGGCCAATCCTGAAGGAGCTTGAATGAGAGATCTGGGCCTCAGCTTACAGGGGACGTGCGGCGGGAACAGGGCAGATCCAGGAGTGGTCAGCTGGTGGGGCTACAGCAGGACTCCAGGGACAGACTTAGAGCAGGGCTTGGAGATCCACAGGTCCCCCCCCTCCCTGCAGTCCTGCTGCAAACTGAACCCTCTTCCTCGAGCCCTCAACTGCTCCCAGGCAGGGACAGAGACCCCCAGCTGGGAGGGAAGAGCGACCTTGGAAGGGGGAGGACAGGGGGTCTCTGCTTCCGGGAGGGAAGTGGGAGGGAACCACAAGCCTCTTGCACCCATGGGTGGGTGCACTGAGGGCCCCAAGTAGCACCAAGAAGAAGGCGTCCCAGCTTGGGATCAGGATTGGAACGGAGAGTTTCTAAGTCAGGGCTGCTGCCGCTTTGTTTCCCTGTTTATTTTATTACAAAGTATCCCATGCTTGTTGTGGGAAAAAAAAGTGTGAGTGAATCACAAAGGCCAAGTCCCCTTTCTGCTTTCTCTCCCTCCACATCCCCCATCTGCCTCCCACCCAGGTCCGCGGTGGGGGGGGGGGGGGCGGGGGGTGGTAACGGCACCCTTGGGGGCCTTTTTCCATGCACACGCAGATAATATAACATTTAAATAGACATACACACATAGTGTTCTGTATACAGCCTGGTTTTGTTTTTTATTGTGATTTTTTTTTTCAAAAAGAAAAAGGGAACATGTTTACACATACGTATTCTATAACTTTTTTCCAGGAAACAATGTATCATGGACTTCCTTACGCATCATACATATGCATCTAGCTTGTTCATTATAATGGCAGCATGGAATTTCGTAGTATAGTTAAACAATAATTTATTTAATGATTTCCTTATTGATGGACACTTAGGTTTTTTCCTAATTTTTATATTACACATAATATTGCAGTGAACATTCATGTGTATAAATCCTTGTCTACTTGACTGCATATTTTTATTGGGAAGATACTGAGAAGTAAGATGCTATTTAAAGGATGTGAATATTGTTTGTTTTGTAGGTACTGCCAAGTTGCCATCCCCAGGGTACCGGTGCGCCCTCCCTCCGAGCGCCCAGGTCTTTGCCGACGCGGCATATTGTTGATCTCTCTTTAACTTTCGTTTAACTGGTGAGCACAAATGCTATCTACTTTTTAATTTACATCTCTGCTCACCAACAGGATCAATCATAACTTTAATTTTTAATATTTTAAAGTTTCGATTTTCTAAAAGGTAATGCATTTTCATTGTTAAAATGTCAGCAGTCCACAAGGCAGATGGTGAAACGTTTCTCCCTCCCTGATCCCAGCCCTGACCTCCTCTCCCCAGAGCCAACCAACGCGCCCTCTCCCTGCGTGTCCTCCCAGGGGTACGCTGTGCACATACGAGCAAGTGCACAGGTGTTTCTCTTTTTCTCCTTTGACACAAATGGCAATGCAGTCAGTGGTTCTCTGTCTTTGCAAATCTGATGAAAGCTGAAACCTCTCCTGAGAAACAGATACAGGCCCCTTCACACAAACGTTACGTAAATTTCTGGTGGATATGCCTCTGTCCTCAGTCTCACTCAGGTTAAGCATTCCTGCTCCATAATCCTCTCCGACTCTTGGTGGGGCTAAGTTTTGATAGTTCAATGACTTTAAGACACTAGGACTCTCTGTGTCTATAATTTTATGAGTCTCCAAATCTAAGAGCCTGTGATTGCCAATATATAATTTAAATTGAAGCATGAGCTTCTCTGGCTAATGGGGTTAGCGGCAGTTTTTCTCAAACTCAACGTGTCCCAAACTGAACTCATTCTCTTCTCTCCCTCAAACCCTGCTTACTCGTTTATTCAACAAAAAATTCTTGAGCATCTGTAATGTGTCAGGCACTGAGGATAAAATTATGAGCAGCGACAACAGCAACAAAACCCACATCCCTGCTTCTGTAAGCTCCTTCGAGGTGGGGATGAAGTTAGAGTGGGTAATTCAAGCAGCATGTGATGTGTGCGACCAAAGGAAACGAAAGAGCCCAAATGAGATTTGTGCCAGGAGTGGGGTCTCAATGATGAGCTGACCAGAGGAGGTGCAGTGGACATAGAACTGAAAATGGCGTCACAGGGGGGTGTGTAGCATGAGACACAGCTCCCCAATTCCAAGAGGGAATGCTAATTATACCCAAGTCCTTGTGTCTGGGTCTGCTTTGGGGGGAACCCAAGCCAAGAGAGAGGATTTTCTCTTATGGCAACAAACCATCAGAATGTGGCCCAGACTCTTCCTTCAGCCTGGACCCCAGAATGAGCACATGAGGACAGACCTGAGCCCAGCCGGCAACAAGGAGGAGGCCAGCTGAGGCAGCCCAGCAGCCTGAGCACAGCTGCCCAGCCAAGCCCGCTTTAGGTTAGCCAACCGACGGTCAACCTGGAGACCCACCAGCACAAGAAGAAATGCTCGCATGCCGCTGAGATTCTGTGGCACACAGTAAGTGATTATGCAGCAAAAACTCGGTAGGCCAACTGGATCTCCTACTGCCTCCCCACTGCCCTGTTTCTGTCGCCCTCTTTGCCCTGAGAGACAAGGCAGTAAAAGAGATAGATCAGAGGCTGGGGATGGGCAAGGAGGACGATGAAGTCAGACTGAGGACATCAGATCATGTGGTCTGACTAAGGCAATGGCAGTGAGGATGGACTCAGAGTTACTGGGTAGAATTTACTGGGCTTGCTGTCTGGTGGGATATAGGGGATGACAGAGAAGGGAAAATCAAGGATGACACCCAGGTTTCCATGTCCTAGCCTAGAAACACAGAGCGGGAGAAGATGTTAAAAGCTCTTCTTGCTCATCCCAGCATGTAGTAGATGCTCCATAAAAAATGTATTGCGGGGGCCAGCCCTGTGGAGCAGCGGTTAAGTTCACACATTCCGCTTCTCCGTGGCGCGGGGTTTGCTGGTTCCGATCCTGGGTGCGGACATGGCACCGCTTGGCAGGCCATGCTGTGGTAGGCGTCCCACGTATAAAGTAGAGGGAGATGGGCACGGACGTTAGCTCAGGGCCAGGCTTCCTCAGCAAAAAGAGGAGGATTGGCAGTAGTTAGCTCAGGGCTAATCTTCCTCAAAACAAAAAAATGTATTGCATGAATGATCAGGTTTGGAGGGGAAAAGGTGAGTTCAGTTTGACACAGGTGGACTTTCCAGATGTCCACGAGGCAGCAGAATGGATAGTAAGAAGAGACATTTGAGAGGCAGAGGTGTATTGAGTCAAGGAAGAGAGAGATCCCCAGGGAAAGTGGAAAGGGAGGACTGAGAAGCGAAGAGAGGCTGCGTGAAACCAAAGCGCAGGCAGAGTGAGATGTCTCCTTAGGTTTCTAGAGGCTTCTCACTTCTGACCCTTGGGTCCTGTGAGATACCCTGATAGCCCTGTGATAAATTCCCCTCAGACTTGATCTGGCTTAGAGGGGGGCCTGTTAACCTGCTATCTGAGGAGTCTCCTGTCATATGCTATCCCCATTGTGCACCCGGTCACCCAGGATGGCCACTTGGGGATCTCTTCGTTTGATCTTCATCAGACATTAAGTTAGCTGACAACGAATGCTGGGCACAATACGGGTCCATCCTAGATGCTGCCCCCTTTCCCCATGCCCCCCTCCCTGCCGTGGCTCAGGTGTGCCGTGCCTCCTCGCTGGCCTCCCTGCCTCCACTGTCACCCTGCTGAGCGGCCCTCCCCCGGGGCCTGGGAGCAGCGTTTCTAAAGCACAGCTGGTCAAGTTCCTCACCTGCTTAAAAACCCTCCGTGCCAAAGCTGACTGGACGAAATATCTCAAAATAGAGAGTGAAAATACAGAGATGAAAATTATGAGGGAAGAGATGAGAACACACCTAGAAAAAAAAGTAAAAAGACAAAACAAACATTCACTCGACACCTCGGGACAGAGTCCAACCTCCTCATGCTGGCGTTTGCGGCCCTCTGTGACCTGGCCCTCCACGACCTCCTCTGCCTCGTGCCCCACCGCCCCTGCTTTGCTTCTACAGTACAGAGCACAGTGCCAGGCGAGGGTCCCCTGTCTCTCTCCCTGTGGCTCTGCACACTGCATCTGCTGGGGATGCCCTTCTCCTGTACCCCCTCTTCAAGGCTTCGCTCAGGGGTTGCCTCCTCCAGGAAGCCCTCTGACTCCTCTGGGCTCCTCTATCACCCTGTGCTTTCCTCTGTCACTGTCCTAATCATACTGTGTTGCCCTTAAGTGTGTGGCTCCCCTCCTGGCTTGTGAGTTCCTTGAGGGGAGGGACAAGCTATGACCCGTTCTATGTCCCCAGAGCTCAGCCCACAGCCAGGCACAGGTGAGGCCTCTGGGAATGTTTGCTGAGTCTAAGAGTTTTCTGGGTGCAGCTAATAATGTAGACCCCTGCGAGCAGGTGGACTGATGACTTTGGTGACCAGTGTTGGGCAAAATGGGGTGGGGGCCAGAGTGACGGGGAGGGCGTGGGAGTCGAGGAAGTAGGGGCACTGGGCAACCCCTTTTCATATCCCGGCTGCCCTTCTGTCCCTCCTCTTGTCCCACTCAGGGCACTTCTCTTGTCAGGTTCCCCTCATCCAGGCCCCTCTGAACATTCCCTTTTGGGGATGTGACTCAAATCTCTCCCCAGGGATCCCCAAATTTCCCAATGGCCCCAAAGCCCCTAGGTACCCCAAACCTCTCTGTCAAAGGTGGTATGGTCTGAATGTTTGTGTCCCCTCCCAAACTCGTATGTTGAAATCCTAACTCCCAGTGTGGTGGTATTAGAAGGTGGGGCCTTTGGGAAATGATTAGTTCATGAGGGTGGAGCCCTCCTGAATGGGATTAGTGTTCTTATAAAAGAGACCCCAGAGAGCTCCCTAGCCCCTGCCACCGTATGAGGACACAGTGAGAAGGTGCTGGCTACGATCCAGGAAGGGGGCCCTCACCCGACCATGCTAGCACCCTGACCTTGTACTTCCAACATCCAGTGATGTGGGAAATAAGAGTTTGTCGATTATAAGTTGCCCAGTCTGTGGGATTTTGTTATGGCAGCCAGAACAGACTAAGAAAATGTTCCCTGACACTTTTCCTAATGACTCCTAAAACTCTACCATTAATACCCCAAATTTCCCCTAAAAAAATCCTCTTTCCCTGTGGTGCCTGGGAGGAGGTGGTGTGCCCCTTACCTAGGCCTTCTCCACGGCGGGGAAGCTGGTGTTGGTCTCCCGCGATGGGCCCGGGGGAGGGGGAGGGCAGGTTTCTCCTTTATACCATCCATCCCCCACCGCTTGAACCTCCCCCACACAGCTGTCAGAAATGTGACACTCCCCTGTCTATTTCTGGATGTCTCCTCAAGGCTCAGGAACACTAGCCTCTGCCTGGTCCGCCCTGAGCCAGGGCTCTTCCCGTGAAAAAGGGGATCCCTGGAGCCAGAGAGAAGGTGGGCCAAGGCATCGAGGATCCAGGCTGGAACCACTGCCTCCCCCTGGATGTGGTGCTGTGCTCAGCACCCCCAACCTCAGAGAGCACGTCTTTACATTTTGTTCCTTTCACGTGAGCACGTGGACTCACCCAAGGGGAAGGAGAGATTCCCAGGTTAAGGGGACTGGGTCTGGGCCCCAGCTCCAGCACTGAGTTGGCGGGTGATCCTGGAGAACTTTCTGCCTCGCTTGGGACCTCTGTTCAATGACTAGATTTGACTCTGTCTCTTGGGGCTTTTCTTGAGGTTCCAGGTGTTGGGATGGGAGAAGCAATTCTCCAAAGCCACATGGTGGGAGAGAGGACAAAGCCATGATCCCAGTAGACCTGGTCCTGGGACTGTCCCAGGAGACCCAGCTGTCCCAGATGGTATCCAGTTCCAGCAACCGGAAACGCTCAGGTCCCTTCAGGGAGCAAGGCAAGCAGGCGATGTCGGCAAGATGCTGTTTTTCACAATAATGGTGAACAGTAGAGTGACTCCTGATTTTCTATCTGGGAGACCTCGGGGGTGGCCAGTCTCACTGGAAGGGGGTGAAAGAACTCGTCTGGAAGCTGTTTGCCTGGCAAGCACTCTGGTTTTCTGGGATGTCACTCTCCCCGGCCCCACCCCCACCCCCCAGCACGGACACACAGTTTGTCTTCCTTTTTGGTCTTCAGGAAGGCTTTTTAGAGAAAGCAGGATTCTAGTTGAAGGAAATTCTTTATTTGGCTGGCAGTCTGGGGGACTGGGGAAGAGGATGGGGCTAAATGAATGAGCCAGACCAGGATGGAGCCTGGGCTAAGTCTCACTTCCCACGCCCACCTCTGCCCCGGCAGCATCTCTTAAATCTTGACATTCAGGATCCCCAACTCCTCCGGCCGCTCTGGGGACGTCACCCTCCCACCCCAGAGGCTCAGGCTGTCAGAAAGGTCTTCCCAGAGCTGCTGACTGACTCCTCAGCTGGCCCCTTCTCCCGTTACTTCTGATTGGACATCCAAAACTCAGAGCCAGGTTATTTATAGACAAGCCCACAGGCGGGAGGGGAAAGGCTAGTGTTTACAAACATGGGTCACCTGATTCTGAGAGATCCAGGGAGAGAGGGTCTGGGGAGGGGATGGGGCTGGACCCTGAGGATCCGAAACAGAGAGTCTGCGAGTGGTCCGACCCTACTGAAGGGAAGGGGCGCAAAGAGAAGGGAGGGGGGCGGGGGCGGCTCAGATGCTGGACCCAATGCGTGGGCCATATGCAAATTGCATGCAAATCAGCGAGAGCAGAAGCGGTGATCTCTCGGCGGCGGGACCCTCTGGGGGCTCCCAGGCCAAGTGGTCTGGGGGCCGGGCACCTCGGGTCGGGCCCACCTGAGGGAGAGGCCGAGTTTACAAGCCCGCTTCCCTAACCCTGGTCTGGCTCGGAGTCAAAGAGGGTCCGGGAGAAAGAGCTCGCCGTCCTCGGGAAGGGGGTCACGCCCCTCACCCCTTCCCCCGCCGCTCCCGCCCCCACCTCACTGTCCGTTGTTGGGAAGAGAGGTGTCGGGTTGCCGCCGCGGGGGCTATAGTTAGCCGCGGACTTTGTTTATCCGGGACTCCGGGGACATCGCAGCGCCCGCCCTGACTGGAGCCCTGCGCCTCCGCGCTCCTTCCCGCTCTCCGCCTCCGCCTCCGCCTCCGCCTCCGCTACCTCCAGGTGGGTCCCCGGCCCCCGCCCCCTCCCCTCTCCAAGCCGAGCCAAATTACGGCTCCACCTTGACCGTTGCAAGAAAGTCCCCGGGCAGAAGACGCGGAGCCTGGGGGCGTCTGGGAGTCTGGGGAGCGGAGACCTGGGGATGCGCTCCTGCCGGTAGACCATCAACTCCAAGCCCCGCCCACCCCCTTAGGCGCGCCCTTGGCCCCTCCCACGCCCCGCCTGGACCCGGGGTCCTGGACCAGGGACCCCCTCCACCGCAGAAGGCGGCCAGCTCTCGTCAAGACTCACCACCGCTGGTCCCACCCTCATCTGCACCTCGCCCTCCTGAGTCTCCCCTAGGAATGATGCTGGCAGCTCTGCTGATCGCTCTCGGCGGCCTCAGTCTGCACACCCTCTGGCAGGTAACTGGGGGAATCATCCCCTGCCACAAAGGGAACAGTACGGGGGCAGACCCTGAGGAGGTGGACTGGCGGAGCGACTCCTCAAAAATCTCTCCCAGGGACTTTTCTCTAGGATCCCAGTCCTCTTAAACCTCTTCCTCTCAGGAACCTCCATCCTTGCGCCGGTTGCGGTGGGGTGGGGCAGATTCCCATTCCCTCTCCCAGAACGCCCACCTCCACCCACCTGTCCTCCTGGTGTCTTCCTTCCTTCACATCGTCGCTCCTGAGCGACTCCCCTCACCTTTCTCCTCCCCACTTCCCACCTCCCACCACAGGCCCGGCCCAGGCAAACCCTCCTGCAGCCCCGCCAAGACCAGGGCTCCTCCCCACTCCCACCCCAGGTTTGGGGATAAGGGCCTCTATCCAGGAGAGGACTCAGGAGTCTCAGAGCTGACAATGACTTGGTGTGGTGGCTGAGCACCTGCGTGAGAGGGAAAGAGTGTGAAGATGGGGTAGGCGTCAGGTCATCCGGCATTGGCTGCATGTTGTTGGTATAGCACCTGCATACTGAGGCTTAGAGCCAGAACAGAGCTGGCAAGTCATCTAGCCCCGCTTTCCACAGAGTGCAGGAACCTCGCAAATGACAAAATGACCCCTTTTAGTTTGTACAGAAGTGAGGATCTAGATGCCATCCTCACAGTAACCCTGTGAGGTTGGAAGTGTCCTCACTTTGTAGCTGGAGAACCTGAAGCCCAGAAGAGTTAAGAGACTTGCCCAAGATCCCACAGCTAGTAGGTGGTGAAGTCGGGATTTGAACCCATGTCTGTCTGACTCCAGTACTGTGTTATTTAAGCCCTTGAACTTAATTGCCAAATTGTGTACACCAGATATTTGGGCACAGAAGAGAGATTCTGTGTTCCTAAACTGATCTGCTACCAGGACCCCTGTCCAGTGCTCTGAAATTTTTGCCTTTCCTGTGTGGCTCCTCTCTTCCTTACCTCCATAGGCTCAGGCTGTTCCCATCCTGCCCCTGGGCCTGGCTCCAGACACCTTTGATGATGCCTATGTGGGCTGCGCGGAGGAGATGGAGGAGAAGGCAGCCTTTCTGCTAAAAGAGGAGATGGCCCGCCACGTCCTGCTGCGGGAGTCCTGGGAGGCAGCCCAGGAGGCCTGGGAGCACAGGCGTCGAGGGCTCGCCCTGCCCCCTGGCTTCAAAGCCCAGCATGGAATCGCTGTCATGGTCTACACCAACTCATCTAACACTCTGTACTGGGAGCTGAACCAGGCCGTGCGGACAGGCGGTGGCTCCCGGGAGTCCTACATGAGGCACTTCCCTTTCAAGGCTCTGCATTTCTACCTGACCCGGGCCCTGCAGCTGCTGCGGGACGGTGGGGGCTGCCACAGGGGATCTGGGGAGGTGGCGTTCCGAGGCATGGGCACCCTTCGCTTTGAACCCAAGAGGCTGGGGGACTCTATCCGCTTGGGCCAGTTTTCCTCCAGCTCCCTGGATGAGGCGGTGGCCCGAAGATTTGGTAATGCCACCTTCTTCTCTCTAAGGACTTGCTTTGGGGCCCCTATCCATGCCCTGTCTGTCTTCCCCAAGGAGCGTGAGGTGCTGATCCCCCCATATGAAGTCTTCTTGGTCACCAGGTTCTCCCAGGATGGAGCTCAGAGCCTAGTGACTCTCCAGAGCTATAATCAGACCTGCAGCCACTTTAACTGCGCCTATCTGGGTGGTGAGCTGTGCATGAGGGAAGCAGGACTGGCTGGGTGGGTGAAATGAGCCAGGACATCCCTACACAATCCCCAGGGCCTTCAGGAGATCCACTTGGTTAATGGGGAAGTTGAGGGCTAGAAGTCAGCTGGAGCTATTGTTCTCTGTGTCTCAGGTTCTTCCGGCTCTTAGAAGGTCCTATAAGTGTTTCCAGATCTGTGATTATTTTCAGATGATTCTGTAAATGTTCTTGAAAGGTTCCAACTGCTATCCAGCCTAATAGATGAAAGGAACCTGGCTAAGGAGGTCACCAAGCAGAGGAAGGTGACAGGAGCGCCGCTTCAGATCCCAGGAGGCCCAGGGCCTAATGGGGTTGACAGGATACAGATGTGCTATTCCCAAGTGCTGAGGCCGGGATAGGATGGAGGAGGGACTGGGGCTAGGGTGGGGGCAGGGATGGATAGGCAATCTGGAAGATTTCCTGGGGGAAGGAGGAGGAAGGGGAATCAGAAGTTTGCATTTAGAAGAAGGGAAAGATGGATTGAGAAGGGGAATGGCCTGTGCCAGGGAAAGTGTGATGTGAGGGTCTGTCTCCATGGAGGCCTCACCGTGCTGTCTATTGCAGGGGAGAAGAAGCGGGGCTGTGTGTCTGTACCAAGTGAGTCACCCTCCTGCCCCCTCCCTTGGCTGCCTCCGCTCCCTGCCACCCCTCCCGGCCCCTGCCCTGCTCACCCTTCACTTCCTTTTCTTCTTTCTCCAGCAGGGGGGCAGCCAGACTCATCCTCCAATGGGAACTTCTCTCTGCTCCCCTGGAAGACCCTGCTCTTGGCCCCTGGGGGGTTCCTGCTCTCAGGAGCTGGGCCCTGAAAGTCCAATGCCTGCCGCTCAGGAGTCCTGGCAACTGGCGACCTTCATCTGAAGAAGGGGGTTTCGAACAGCCTCGAGAAGCAAAGACACGGTTTCGGACCCAGCCCTAGCAGCCATCTCCCCAATCAGGAAGTGGGGGGATCTGAGGCCATGGCAGGGTGGAGGGAGGCCCCCTATGTGGTGGGGACCCCCTGGGACAAGCAAGGGTAGTACTGTGATGGCTACTTGATTAAACAGTGTTGCAGTGTGGTGACATGAAATGTCATGATTGGTTTTTCTGTGAGACTGGACCATCTGCCTTGCTCTGGCACTGCAGGACTCAAGGACTGAGGAACTAAAAAGAATGGCTTGATCACTCCTAGACATGTCCCCTGTGCAGTCCTCTGTCACCACTATAACTTGCAAACCCGGAAGCTTTAACAGCCAGTGGTTCCTCACAACAACATGGAAGGCAGGAACAGTACAGATGGATTCCTTGGCCCGTTTGTCAGATGATGAATGCAAAGCCAAGGAAGGAAGCAACTAGCTCAAGGTCAAAGAGTTAGTATTGAACCAGGCCCCTGCCTCCCAGTCCAGAACTCTTTCCACTAAAGATTTGTGGGAACTCAAAGTAGGCTGCTAAGCCCAAGATACCTGGGACCCCAGAGCAAGCCATCTCTATCCTGCTCCCCCAACGGTCCACTTCTGATAGAGAAGGGATCTCAGAACATGAGGAGACAGAGCCTTTCACACACTCTGGAGGCATCTGACATCCAGAAGCTTTATTGAGGCAAAGAAAGCAACATAAGCTCCTACTAAGTGGCCCCCACCCTCACCCATCTAGGCAGCCCTACTCAGCAACAGAAGGGACCCTCCCACTGCATCAGGCCTCCCCCTTGGTTCCCAAATATTCCTCCTGGGGCAGGTCCCCAGCTCCCTCTGATTCCTGCTCCCTATGCACCAGCACGTGAGTTGGGGAAGAAGGGCCAGACTCTCCAGAAGCTGGAGTCCTGGCCCCTTCAGCATCTTGAAGCTCGGTTTCTGAAGATCCGTGGGCCTCCATAGTCCCTGGCACTGTCAGCTCTGGGGTCTCGGGGATGGGGGGCCCCAGGTTCTGGAAGCTGTTGCGCACTCGGGTGATGTAGCGACTGAGGATGCTGGCACCTGCGGGAGGCCGTGGAGTCCCTCCCTCTGCCAGAGTCCGCCGCACACCCGCCACCTCGCTTTGCAGCCGTGATACAGTCTTGGTCAGCTCTGTCAGTCTGTTGCCCAGGTCTGGCGGGGAGCATTGGAGGGGAGGTCTCTCAGGAGACGAGCCTGCCCTGTACTTGTACCCTCAACAGAACCCCAGGGGACATCATGCCTGGCGTTCCTAAGGGAGGAGAACTGGAGGAAGTGAGAGACTGGCTTAGGGGTGGGGGTCAGGTGGGCAGCAGGGTCCAGGGCAGATGAATCGGAGCGGGGGTGGGGTGGTTGGGAGTTTAAAAGATGCAAACAAGGGAAATCTCGTGGGCCAGAGAAGGGATCAGGAGTCTTGGGGATGGGAAGTTTGAATGGGTAGAGATTTGTACATCCGCTCCTGTCAGCCCTCTTCCTATACACACCAGTCCAGCTCCTACACATCCTCTGGGCCCAAATTCTACCTGCTGTCTCTCCAACCTCTGGTACTCTATCCTCTACCTTCCCATGAGCCTCTCAAAACGATAGGCTCTTGCTCTCCTTTGGCTCCCACTGCAATTTGTGTCTCTCTCAGCTGGGCACTTTCTGCCCAGGGGTTTCTCTTCCTCACCAGACCGAAGGCTTCCTATGTGTCCCTGCTCACCACAGTCCCCACTCCCTCCGTGACAGGGCCGGGAACAAGGGGAAAAAGCAATGAGTGTTGGTTGAATAAGTCAATAAGTGAATGAATGAATAACGAATTAAGTGAATGAGTGAACAGGTAAGGGAGTGAATGAGAGAATAAATGAACACATGAATGAAGGCAGGAATGCAGAAGTAAATGAAATGAGTGGAATAAACGTCTGAATGAGTCAGAGGGTAATTGAGTGCAAGGGGCCACACTGCAGGTTATAGTGCCCAAGGGCAGGGCAGGATGGGCCACACATCACTGCAGCCTGGATGAGGGTGTGAATCTGGGTGTGGTGCATTTATCAGAGCCGAGCAAGAACAGGAACAGGGAAGGCTCAGAGGTGAACCACTAACCTTTCCGGCGGGTCTCCTCGAACTCCCGCCGGGCAGTCTCTATGTAGCGCTGTACCAGGGCCTTGATGACACGAAGGCGGTAGGATCCACGCTCTCCCTCCCCAGGCCCTGCCCCTGCCCCAGGATTGGCCTGTGATGGGAAGACAAGAGGGTAAGAGAGATTCTCCACCACCAGCCTTTCTCTAATCACTGCTCCCTCCCCAGTCAGGTAAGGATGGAGGCCAAGTCTGTGCAGTCTTTTCTGTCTTTGAAGGCCACACAGCTAGACCCTGGAGCTGCCCTGGAAGGTAGAATGATGGAGGCCAGAGTTAGGGAATGGCGGAGTGCAAGAAAACCAGGGTGGGAGGTGAGGTGAAGGTTGGGAGGTGGAGGGAGGAGTGGGCAGAGACAGAGATGCTGAGAGGGCAGGGTGGAGCTCTCTCTCCTGCCACCAACCCAACCTTGGTTTTCTTGAGTTGAGTTAGTCCCTTCAAATTCTGCAGAGGGGGAGACTAGGGGCTGTGGGGAGGCATCTGCACGGACCTGCTCATGCATATCCATATGCAGTTGGAAATCATGCGAATTAGAATGGTTGGTCTGAGTCCAGTTTTAGGCCTCAGGACAGTACCAGGAGGGCAAGTAGGGCATATGGACAGCGACTGGAGAGAGCAGAGGGGTAGTAGGCAAAGGGCGGGGCTCAGAAGACGCAGGCTCGCAGGCTCGAGTCCCAGCTCAGCCACTTTGCAGCTGTGGGCCTCAGGCAAGTTCCTCAACTTCTTCAGGCTGAATACGTCCAAATTCACAATGGAGATGTAATAATGCCCACTTCCCAGGTTGGTACTGCCCCAGCACAGAGTAGGGGCTCTCCAAACACTGAGGGAACAATTATTTTTATTTAACTAGTTGTAGCTTCTCTCTAAATATTTTATACTTAGCATATTTACTTTTATAATGTGAAATAGCAAAGCATTTTATTAAATTTTATAAAAAGAGATGGTATTGACAGAGATGGGGCAGGCAGAGGTAAGAGAGAGAATGACGGCCCTTTCCAACTACAGAGTATATAAAGCAGGTTTCTCGCATAAAATAAGGAATAAGAACTTTGGGGGGCCATTTCCTGAGGATGGGAGGGACACCTGATTGGATCACCAAAGAACAGGCAGTGAGGTGGGGGCAGCTGGAAGAAAGGTGGGACCTGAATGGGAGGTGCAATGGAGGACTGGGGAGACCCCTAGCTGGCTGTTATGGTGGGATCTGGCAGGACACAGTGACTGTGCCCATCCAGGACTGGGCACAGGCCCAGGGAATTGAATATGACCTCAGGTGAAGAAGCTGTTTTACCCTATGGTGGAAGCAGCCCTGACATGTGGTCTGCAAATAAGCATCAGACAGCCTGAACAGGGCCAGGAAGTTGCCAGGGGGACAGGGTGACAATTCCAGAATTTGGAGCCAGAGATCCAGAGGGTAAAGGAGGTGTCCGTGCAGGACAGCCTGGAGCTGGGATGCGGCGGGAACGGGGAACTGGGAACCTTTGGCATTCAGTTTCTTGTGTCATATTTTCTTTGGCACATGCAGTTTCCTGTGCTTAGAAACTCCCTTCTCCACTGTATCTGCCCATCAACCTCCTCTCTGTCCTCCAAGATTCTGTTCTGCCCTCAAGGTCTCTGGGAAGCTCCCTGATTCCTGAGGCTGGACTGGGCCTCTCCTCTGTGCTCCAATAGCCCCCCTGGGTTTCTCTCTATCATAAGTTCATCATCGTGTTCAATTACCGTCTGTTTCCTTCTGTTCCTCTAGACCGTGAGCACCCAGAGGGACTATGCATCTCTTTATTTCCAGTGTAGGTACGCTTTGGTAAGTGTTTGTTGAACAAACCATTGACCAGCCAGATAAGGGAAGGCCCTCCTCACCTGGAGACCCAGGGAGCTCAGAGCCCCAGAGTTGGCCTGTGGCCCCGTAGAGCTGACCTGGAGGCCCTGGCTTAGAGAGATCCTCAGGAAACACATTTTAAGGGGAACAGATAGGACCCCCTAGAGCCCTGGCAGTAATGCTGGTCTGAATTAGGAAGCCAGCTGGGTTAGGGAGCAGAGAGCGAGAGATATATTAGCCCCTTGGAGGCCTGGCTTCTCTCTGGGGCCTCTGTGAGCCTTCTAATATCCCCGTTGGTAGGGCATTCTTCCCTTGCCGTCTTACCATGTTTTTTTGAAAAACGTTCAACCATCTCTTGGCCCAGTTTAGGGCAAAAAGGTTTGTCTGGAGCTCACAGGGTGTTGGTGGCTTGGGAGGAGGGTGGCATGGACTTCTCTTTAAGCCAGATGACACAGGGTTGGAAATTTAGGAAATGGCCAGAGCCAGGAAGAGGGAAAGGCAAGTTGTGGGAGAGAATAAGAACTGGGAACAGGCTTTCTGGAGAATGCACCTGGAAAGACAGACAAGCCAGCGGTGTGCAGACAAACGGACAGTACAGATAATACAGTTGAAGGCCCGAAGTGAGGAAGACCAACAACCAGCAGATGAGATACTCACGAAGGTGGGGATTGGGGGATAGTCTTGCTTCTTGGTTTTGCAGTCAGAGCAGTAACAGCAGATGAACTGGAAAGTTCTCCTGCGAGATTCAGATGGCAGAAAGGGGTTAGTTGAAGGACAGCGTCTAGGGAAATGGGGGCAGGAGCTGGGGTGGGAGTGCTGGGCTCTTGGGGGTGGGGGGTGAGAGCTACAAGTCTTCACCTGAGGAGGTAGAAGATGGCCTTGGGGGAGGGCAAGATGTTGAAGGGCACGGGCAGCGTCAGGCCCTCTCGGAAGTAGGACAGGTAGAGCTTGGAGCGAGCAAACTTCCACTCCACATCAGCATCGTCCTGAAGACCAGGAGGTATGGGCTCTGCAAGGCCACTCTGGTACCTACCCCTCCTGCCCACTCCATCTGCCTCGTTTCCCCCATCCTCACGTCTCTTGTTCTCCAGTGTGCCAAGGACTTTCTTCTCCCCATTCTCATCTCCATCCTCGTCATCACTCACAGTTCCCCTGCCTGTCTCCCCCTTCCTCTCTTCCTCCCCATTATCTTTCATTCTTCTGACATCCAATTCCTGCCCAGCCATTTCTCTAG